TGCTATCTATCTCTAATTCTCTACGTCCTATATGTCTTCTGTTCTCTCTCCCCCCCCCCCCCCCCCCCCCCCCCCCCCCCTCTCTCTCTCTCTCTCTCTCTTTCTCTCTCTCTCTCTCTTCTCTCTTCTCTCTCTCTCTCTCTCTCTCTCTCTCTCTCTCTTCTCTCTCTCTTCCTCTCTCTCTCTCTCTCTCTCTCTCTCTCTCTCTCTCTCTCTCCTCTCTCTCCCTCTCTCTCTCCCTCTCCCTCTCCTCTCCCTCTCTCTTCTCTCTCTCTCTTCTCTCTCTCTCTCTCCTCTTCTCTCTCTCTCTCTCCCTCTCCTCTCTCTCTCTCTCTCCTCTCTCTCTCTCTCTCTCTCTCTCTCTCTCTCTCTCTCTCTCTCTCTCTCTCCTCTCTCTCTCTCTCTCTCTCCCTCCCTCCTCCCTCCCTCCCTCCCTCCCTCCCTCCCTCCCTCTCCTCTCCCTCTTCCCCCTCTCTCTCTCTCTCTCTCTCTCTCTCCTCGCTGACGTAAATGTTGCCAGTTTGTGGTCCCTTTATGTTGGTAAGCCTCGCCGCTAGAGGGCGGGTGAAGACAGCATAGCAAGGGGTGACAATATTAGCAAAATTAGTGTCAGACCATCAGCCGACATGTGACAGCCATGTTGCGTGCGTGTCATTAGCGACTAGTTAGTTCGAAATGCCACTCCCCCCCCTCAACCCCCCCCCACACACACGCCACTCCCCCCCCCCCCTCAACCCCCCCCACCCCGTCATGTGTAATTTTTAGTAGGTCAGTTTTTTTTTTTTTTTTTTTTTAACGCTTACATTGGACCGATAGATTGCAAGGTGAAGTCAAGTTATTTTTTGATCCGGGGAAGATTGTAAATAAATGGACTTTGATATCAGGATGGCGTGGTTATAGATGGGTTGATTTATGAATTTCACATAAAAGTAGATTTTATGGTTTTATGGTTGTTATCGCGCACATAGACGCACACACGTACACACCACACACATACATACACACACATACACACACACACACACACACACACACACCACACACACACACACACACACACCACAACACACACAACACACAACACACACACACACACACACACACACACACACACACACACACACACACACAACACACACACACACATACACACACACACACACACACACAAACACACGTACAAAAGAACAGCTCATTAACCCAAGACATTGTTCATCGACTGTGTTCTTCATGTTCTTGAGTGTTCTTCATTCTCATTTCCACCGACTTGTTCTTCTTCCACATCTACCTTTCACGCGTATGCAAATCTAACGGCTGTTCAAGTTCAAAGATACACAGAATATCGCCAAAGTATGTTTATTATTCCTTTAAAATGATTGACAGAACATATGACATAAAGCTTGAAGAAAAAATATGCGAAAAAAATAAAAAAAAAAAAATGATTGTCATATCATGCTCGTGGTATGATGAGGTATGTGTCGGTTGTATATCCAGGTTGTATAACGGTTGTATAATGGAGGAGAGATAGAGGAGTAGAAAGGGAGAAGGATGGACAGAGGAGAAGTAGAAAGGAGACAGGGAGAAGTAGAAAAGGAGGGACGGGAGGGAGAGAAGGGAGTAGAAAGGGGAGAAGGGAAGTGGAAGAAGTGGTAAGGAAGGAAGGAAATTTGGAAGAGAAGGGAGAAAGGAGAGAGAGAGAGGAGAAGTAGAAAAGGAAGGAAGGGAGGAAAGAGGGAAGAGGAGTGGTAAGGAAGGAGGGAAAGAAGGGAATAAGTGACAGGGAGAAGTAAAAAAGAGGAGAGGAGGTCGGAGGGAGAAGTAGCAAAAGAGGAAGAGGAAGGAGAGAAGAACAACTAAGTAACGTTACAGAAGGGAGGGTGAAAGGAGAAGAGATAGGAAGGGAGGAGGGACGGGAAAAAGTTAAAAAAAAAAAAAATGATATTATACTAGTAATAATACTCTGTTAATTCTGAAATATCAACCATTTTTTCTACGTTTTTGTATTGTAGTTATTTTTTCATAAAAATTATGACTTTTGTATTATTATCATTATTGCAAAATGTAAAAGGGACTTGTTTCATATTTCTTTATGTATTATCACTATATATATATATATATATATATATATATATATATATATATATATATATATATATATATTATATAATATAAATAGCGAATGAAACTTTTTTTCTATTCCTGAAATGTAAAGAATATTCTTAGTATACGTTTTTGCATTAAAGTTATGCGTTTTTTTTTTTCTTTCTTTCTTTTTTTTTTACTTCGTTATTTTTATATATTTTTATACTATGTATCGCTAGTTTTATTTCATAGGTTTTTTATATATAGATAATGGCGAATGAAATTATCTATTATTATTATTATTATTATGCGTTTTTTATTTTATTTCTTTCTTTTTTAACTTCGTTATTTATACTATATTAAACTATTTATCGCTATTTTTATTTCATAGGTTTTTATACAGATATTGGCGAATGAAATTATTTTTTATTCCTAAAATGAAAAGCATACGTTTTTACATTGAAATTATACGGGTTTTTTCTTTTTTTCTTTTTTTTTTTTTTGTCTGTGTTTGTTTGTCTTTTACCTTCTTATTATTTATCTTTATACTATCTATTATTTTATTATTTTATACTATCTATCGCTAGTTTATTTCATTGTTTTTTTTGTTTTTGTCTTTTACCTTCGCTATTTATTTTATCTTATACTATCTATTATTTTATTATTTTATACTATCTATCGCTAGTTTTATTTCATAGGTTTTTATACAGATATTGGCGAATGAAATTGTTTTTTATTTCTAAAATGAAAAGCATACGTTTTTACATTGAAATTATACGGGTTTTTTTTTCTTTTTTTCTTTCTTTTTTTTTTGTTTTTTTTTTTTATTTACCTTCGCTATTTATTTTATCTTATACATC